CTTACTCGCTATCACATAGCATGAGCATAGCACTCACAAGCCTATTTGTATTTTGTCAATATCCCTTCTTGGCAATGCTATGACTTGAGATATTTAATGATATCATTTATGTGCATTAGTGTTTGACTTACATCTTTTAATCAATTACTATTACAAATGCATATCATAAGGACTTCTATCTCATTCTTCCGAATTTATCAATATGTAAACATAAGAATTAATAGAATGACTTCTTTATTATTATTAAAATAAATGATGCAGTAATATATTAACATAAGCCCATCCAAACATGGTTGGATCTTGGGCTCCAACACTAACATAAACCTATTAGTCCAAAACCATTTTTGCCCAATTAATTAATTTAGACTATACAAATAAGTAAACTTAGATAATTTTAAATAGCCTACATTAGGAAATAGTTTTTTAAAATACCCTTTAATCTAAATTAGAAAACTCATTTTCATTTTAGGTTATTTACTTCCAAATTTGAAACTAACTTCCAAATTAGAAAACTGATTTCTAAAATAGAAAACTTTTCATTTTAGGAAAATTTTCATTTTTGAAAACCCTTTCCAAAATAGAAAAGTTTCATAATTGAAAACGTTTTTCAATATATTTGCTTCTTTTTAATCATATGAATTCTTAAACTTATGTGTATGACTCAATAGGCTTCTAGATATGTTGGCAATGTATCAAGAATAAAAGACATCTTTTTTTATCTCTTGACACATGAGTCAAGATTGGCCTCTAGCCGAGGCATCATGATACCTAATTCTCTATGTGAATTAATTAATTCGTTATTATCTTTCAATAGTATCCAATTTTAATAGACATATAAACACTTAACCAAGTAACATTAAGTATTGACATAACCAAAATTCCTAAGTAATAATACCGGTGTACAATCATTCAATAATCACATAAACACATAATCAAGTAACAACATAATCCAAAACCATCATACATGTTCAATTGTCAATACACATATGGATACAAATTAAGTACCATCAAGTTGACACTTAGTCAAATCTATCAAGCAATCTTCATAATTATACAATGATCAAGTTAATTTATGAATTCAATACCTTAGGACTTTCATGCCATGCCATGAGTTAATTACACCTACTAATCCTCAAGTAACCTCATGATCCATCATCAAGTAGGCATAACTTTATAGTTGATCAATCATCAATAAAACTCATGATCACACCATCCTAAGTAATCAATCATCAATTAAGTACATAGATACAACTATCCATTACTTTTATGTCTTGTGATGTAGTTGAGATGAGATTACACTTATCTTAGGATTTAGTTAATAAAGAAAATACCATAGAAGCTTTTAAGATCGCACATTTCTTCCTTGTTGTTGCTCTCGCTAAACCGCCCAAAATCTTTTTCTCATTCGGCTAAACACTCTCTTAGCTAACTCTCTTTTCCTCTCGACCTAACTTGATTTCCCACTTAAAAAATTATTTTTCCTCCTTTTTTTTGATGTTTTCTAAGGTTAAAATGTTACAAAATGACTTAGTAAATCCTCTCCCTCTCTTTCTTCCTCTCTTTGCCGACTTAGTGAAGGATCATGCATCCTATGGATGTGTGGAATAAATAAAACATTTCCTCCATCTAAAGGGCCTAAGATCATGCCGTTAAATCAACTAACTATATATAGATATATGAATTAATGCAATGAATAGAGAATTACCTCTTATAGCTCGGATCTAAATTCTTTAGTAGAAAAGTCGTCCAAGTGTCCGACCTCTATTGATGATCAATATAGTCTAAGCACCTACCACGTAGTCCACGCAATCAATCACTATTACAAATGTATTAGCATAAGGACTTCTATTTAATTCTATTGAAATAATAAACATAAAAACATAAGAATTAATAGAATGACTTTTTTATTAATATTAAAATAAATGATGTAATAATACAATAACTCAAGCCCATTCAAACATGATTGGATCTTGAACACCTATACAAACAATTAGATGGATCAAGAAGCCAAGAATTTCCACTTGTATGGAAACTTAGATGGTTACTTAACTAGGTAAATTTTCTAGATTAAATACTTAAGATATTTTCCTAAGTTAACATATATATGGGACACCATTCGAGCTTTATTTTTATGTTAATACATGCGTGGAACTCTTGATTAAGCTATATCTCTAAATCCTTCAAGTTTGAACAACTTGACTTACTATTCACTTGCTTTGTCACTTACTCTACTTAAATCTCCAATCTTTCAATTGTCACTTTAAGGTCTCTTAGACACTCGTACACATGCATAGGGGTGTTCTAAGTCTCGCGTATTATAATTGGTATTTTCAAAAAAATTGATATACTGAAAAAAATAAAATAAAAGTTGATGTACTCGAATAAGAAAATGTTCAAAAGTGATGTACTTATTATGTAGTTTTTTCATTAATCCTAAGTGGGTTGCTTTCATGTTTTTATTCGATCCTTATCTTTAATTTTACTATATAGATAGATAGATATAGATGGATAGAAAGAGAGAGAAGGAGAGAGAGAGTAATTCATAGATCAATTTTGTAAAAAGAAATGAAAAAAATAAAAATAAAAATTGATTCCAACATTCTTATTTGGATGGTATTCAAACTAATTTAGAGTTTTGGTTTATTGAACGTAGTTTTATGTACATTGAATAATTATTTTATATTAAAAATTTAAATATTTAAAATGTGTTAAACAAATAAGAATAAATAAAATAAAATATCTTTTTAATAACATATGCATGAGGGTATTATAAAAATAAAAACTAAATGAAGTGGGGTATTTGAATAGCGTTGTTGTTCATTTACTGCACCCAAGCTCTTTTGGTTTTTTTTCTCTAGGTTGAATAGCAACCTAGGCTTAGGCCTTGGTTGTTGTTCACGTCAGCCTGGCCTTCAAATATTGCTATTCAACCCAACTACCCAATTGGTGCCTGTACTTTTTTCCCCCTTTATATATATATATATATATATATATAATTGGTAGTTGCATTGAACAACAATATATGAAGGCTAGGCTGGCGTGAATAGCAACCAAGGCCCAGGCCTAGGCTGCTAATATATATATATATATATATATATATATAAGAGGAAAAAAAAATAATCCAAGCGCCAATTGGTAGTTGCGTTGAACAACAATATATGAAGGCTAGGCTATATATATATATATGAAATTAGGTACGAAAATTATAAAAAAATAAATCGTTATTTTTTTTAATTTTACGTACAATTTGAAAATGATAGAATATATATAATATTTTTAAAGATTTTTATTTGAACATATATATCTGATTATATTACTCTTATTATTTAAAACTTATTTCTTCAATTATTTTTTTCTTATTAAAATTCTTATTAAATTAATTTTTTAATATAATTTTATTTGTAAATAAATTTGGTTTTTTAATATATGAATTTTGGAATAAAATTTTAGAACGTCGGTATTTTATTTTTTTAGAAATATATTATTATAATTTAATAATATGATTTTTTTAAAATTTAATTTTAAACATATATATATCCGATTATATTACTCTTATTGTTTAAAACTTATTTCTTCAATTATTTGTTTCTTATTAAAATTCTCATCAAATTAATTTTTTAATATAATTTTATTTGTTATTAAATTTGGTTTTTTAATATATAAATTTTAGAATAAAATTATAGAACGTCGGTGTTTTATTTTTTTAAAAACTATTATTATAATTTATACAATAAATTATTTTTATGCTTTTAACATGAGTTTTTTATTTTTTAAAATATATTATTATAATTTAAAAATTCTGATTATATATATATATATATATATATATATATATATATATATATATATATATATATATATATATAGAGAGAGAGAGAGAGAGAGAGAGAGAGAGAGAGAGAGAGAGAGACACACACACACACACACACACACACAGAGCTAAAAGTATGTTTTAGATAGTTTGAGTCAATTTTTTTTAAAAAAATTAATAATGAGTTAAAAAATTTTCAAGGTTTATTTGTTTTTTTTTATATATTTATTCAAAATTTATCGGAACCAATTTTGTTATAGTTTTTATTTTAATCTATTGACTTTAATATATTTCATACAATTTAGGTAGATTTTTTTTTTTTTTTTTATTTATTCTATATACTCTAATATGTTAAGTATGATATAAATATATAGTTTTGTTAGAAATTAACTATATATCCGTACACATAATAGCAATTATTTGTTATTTATTTTTTCATATTCTAAATTTTTTTTAAAAATAAAATAAGTTAGATAATGTTTTGAAAGAACCTCCCAATTATTCAAATACAAATTTTTATGCTAATAGTATTAAATATTTTGTTAATAAATATATATAAATCAAACGATTTCACTCAATATAGATTAGATTTACCTTAATTACTAGAAATTAAACTTATATTTGTAATGCACCATATGAATCGTTAACGTTATGTATTTAACGATTATTGGATCGTAACGTGGTACAGGTATCTAACTAGTAATATCTAAATTGGCCAAAGGTTAGGGACCCAATTGACTATTGAGGATAGGTTAGGTATAATTGTATAGATAAGGATCTAATTGTGAATTCCTGGAGACATTGGTGAGCCAATTGGTTAAAAACAGAGGTTGGAAATTAAATGAAATCGAGACTCATCTGATCTGAGGTTCCTCGAAAAGAAATTATAACAAGACAGGAATCTTCAATTATCGATTCTCTCTCGCCATCATCTTCGTACTCGTCCTCGTCCTCGTCCCTCCCCATATTTATTGCTGCTCTCTCTCTCTCTCTCTCTCTCTCTCTTTTTGTGTAGAAACCACTCGTCATCATCACCACGACCACCAGGACCAGGTACGCCTCTCCTTCAGCTTGGATCCAAAGATCCTGTTATTGTTGTTTAAAATTTGAATAAAAAAATCGATATGATATGTTTGTGTGTGAATAATAGATTGAATTGTTATTAATCGATTTTTGTTTAAAGAAGAAAATGGGGATAAGATTCATATTGATGGTGAACAAGCAAGGACAAACTCGTTTAGCCCAATACTATGAATGGCTCACTCTCGAAGAACGCCGTGCCCTTGAAGGAGAAATTGTCCGCAAATGCCTCGCTCGCAACGACCAACAGGTATTTTCTTGAAATTTAAATGAATTTCTTCTGATTAAAAACAATAAATAATAAAAATAATAATGTTAGTATTAGTTATAGTTATATTAACATTTGAATGCTTGATAGCAGTGTTCGTTTGTAGAGCATCGCAACTATAAAATTGTATACAGACGCTACGCATCATTGTTTTTCCTGGTGGGAGTTGACAATGATGAAGTAAGTTTTCATCTTTTCAACTATACAATGCTTCTTTTCTTTAAGATTATATAGCATTGCTAATTACACTAGTTATTTATTTATTTTGTCTCTTAAGCCAACAGTACTCAAGTCTTCACATTGTCAGATCCACACTACTTATAAGTTTTAACCTTCAACTGCTTAAGTCTGGGAATCACTAATATTCAACAGCATTTATATTCTATGCTGTTTACTCATGTATGTTCTTGACATCCCTTGACGTTGCTATGGAGAGCCAAGAATAATGTTAATATTGGAGGAATGGATGACTGGATTTACAAATTGAGCACTCTAGAGTGTTCTGATGTCCGTGATTCTTGAACAAACCCTGCCGGCTATTTAAACTTAAGCCACAGTCTCCACCTTAGTCTCTTTTCAGTTAATCCTTTGTTTCTGGCTATTGCAGAATGAGCTTGCAATTTTGGAATTCATACATCTTTTAGTTGAAACCATGGACCGCCATTTTGGCAATGTGGTAAGTCCTCTAATACCAAGGATAAACTTTCTCTCTGTTTCTTTCTTCTCCTTGAGAACGAAGGATGAACTAATCTTTGGCCTGTCTTCTTCGTTGCCAAAGTTATCTCTTGGTTTTCCTTTGTTCCCCTCGCATGGAAGTTCACTTCTTTTCTGTTCTTGTTTTTTACTGTTTTTAATTTGTTTCTCTTATCACCAGTGTGAGCTAGACATCATGTTCCATTTAGAAAAAGCTCATTTCATGCTGGAAGAGATGGTCATGAATGGTTGCATTGTTGAGACAAGCAAATCTAACATTCTGAGCCCGATACAACTGATGGACAAAACATCATAAATGATTGATTAGGCCCTATCCTTCTCTCGTGGACTCTTGATGATTTAGTGTTTTTGTTTATCTTGTTGTGTATTGTAAAATAAGCTCGATCAGAGACATTTTCCCTGACACATCAAAAATTTTGTGTTGATCCCATTAATGTATTAGTAAATTACTCTGTTGTTTTCAACACAATTTAGTTTCCATACCTTTATCATTCTGTCTGCATGAGTTTATGCTGTGGTTAAGAGAACCTTGCTAGGTACCAAATCTGTCTCTTGATGAAGAATGATGTGGATAGGCCAAGCATGGTAAAGATCTCTCGAGTTGTGTCTAAAGTTCAACTCTTAAGCTCAAGTTATCTGTGTGTAATGGCTCCACTAAAGCGTCCCTTGTGTATTTTTCTATTTTAATTTTTCAAGTCTGGACCAATGTGTTTGACCTATACCTATCGTATCCACTATTTTTACTGTAAGTTTACCCCCTAGTATGTATCAATGATCCAGCTTGCATTCGATCCTCTCCTCAGCGTGCCTGCTTGTTTCATTCTTGTTCTAGTCTAGGCATCTGTGTTGAAGTGGAATTCTTAAGTTGGAATATCTTCATACAACATCTAATTTGCTAAATAAATGTAATTTTATTTCACTAGTTATCTGCAAATAGCCTAATCTTTTACAGAACAATAATGTTTCGCCGCTAGCTACCAATGGACTTCAGTTTCCCCAGGATATTTCGATTATAAAAAACTGAGATCAAATGGCTGCAGGCCTGCCATCCTTTCTCGGATCGCTCACTGCTGTGAGTGTTCCATGGAATGTTCGGGCATTTACAGAATCTCTTGCAGTTTGACGGTCCATGTCGATGGGGTTTTGGAGGGTCTGAACAACAAACTGGACAACAGCTCCTCCCGCCTGAGCCTTCAATTGATGACCCCTTTCCACCAAGAAAGCTTTTCTTTCCTCGGCAAGTTCTATGTGCTCGCCATCTATCACAGTCCAGTTTTCGTACAGCACAGTATTGGGTATTAACTGCGCAAAATCGATCACATCAGATGTCAAAAGTATTGGAAGGCATATCGTAATACCCAAAGAGAAGTAAGACATAAATTGGCTCTGTTGAAGCAAGTTAGGAACCTTGTGGTAGACCCTTGGACTCTGAACTGCAGCTAAGGGTTCCATCCTCAAGACGAAATGATTAAGAAAGACTTGTGTTACTGCTGGAATGATGAAAAGTCCGCCACTACCACCCATTACCCCGGCTAGTTGATCATCCTGCAGAGTTAACGAAAGCGAGATGACAGCAAAAGTAGGAAGTTAGAGAGGATTTATGAAATTGATGGTGATAAATCTGACTTGAGACCAATAAGCCCCGAAACTATTGCTGTTGAGTTGCAATAATTTCTTGCTTGATAAAGAGTAATAATTTGTCCTGAGTACCAAACACCACAAAATAATATAGTTTATCTACACATATTAAGGCCAAACCTTGGTGACAATAATAGGAGTCATGGAAGATAAAGGTCTCTTATTAGGTTCGATAAAATTTGCTGGAGCAGGAGGGAGCATGTCAGGGGTTATCTCTGTGGGTGCTGAGAAATCACCCATCTCATTGTTGAGCACAATTCCAGTAGAAGAAGAGAGAATTCCAGCTCCAAAACCATAATTTATTGTTGTTGTCATTGATACAGCATTTCGCTCTGTGTCCACAATGCAAAAGTGGCTAGTTCCATGATCTCTGAGCTGACTCCACCTGCTAGTTAAGGTCTGGAATCTTTAGAATCATGACAATGTGAGAATGATATCAGTAAAGCTTTATAATCAGTAGTATGTAGTCATACCTGTTCATATTCAAGTAATATTCTGGAGGGAATGTGGTATTATCCACTATCAATTTCTGTATTTTCTTGGCATAAGATTGGGAAAGCATTTCAGACATATATTTGGTTATGTTTACGAAAGAAGGGTCGCCCAAATTCATTCGAACAGCTAACATGTGCTTCATTGCTTCAATCAAGCGATGCAGACCCAGATTTCCATCTGCAGCTTCAGAACTTCCATAGCTGTTTAAGATGTTTAAGACCTGTTTTGCATCAGAATTTTAGAGGAATCCAATCTTTATGATTCAAAAACTTCACAACCATGAAAAGTACTGTAGTCAGAGTAAAATGCAACATATCCTGAAGTCACTTAGTCCTAGTTCCTCCAGAGCCGGAGGTCCATTCATCAAAACAGCCAAAAGACCACTTGATTTGACAGAAGAAAATACTTGATGGACATAAATATGCAAGGACACGTGAAAAAATATAACCCACCAGAGACATTCCAAGTGTTCCACTTGAAGGTGGTGGCATTCCATATACAGTGTAGTCCATAACCTTTGCAGCTAAGCCATCCATTATATCCACCTTGTAATTCTTTAGATCTTCCAATGTTAGAATCCCACCAGCCTCTCTTACATCCTTGACTAACTTCTCACCAACAGTGCCATTATAAAGAGCTTGTGGGCCTTGTTCTGCAATTGCCTCCAGGCTTCGGGCTAGCTCCACATTACGGCATCTATCACCAGCTTGTAACAACTTCCCATTCGGAGCGAACACTTGCTCCAAGCCAGAATCACTCATGATTTTTTTGGCACAATTAGCAATGGCAGATGCAAGATAAGGAGCAACAACAAAACCATCCCTGGCAAGTTTTATGGCAGGTTGGAATAAAGTCCTCCAAGTCAAACGTCCATGTTGCAGCCAAGCTTCATGTAGGCCAGCAATCTCACCAGGAACTCCCATGGACAGGGCACCTGAATACTTGTTATTCAGGTTGTTTGCATACATATCCTGTTTATGGCAAATACATCGTAAAAGATGCAAAAGCAGATCTTCAAAATGCATAATGAACATGCTATCATGGTAAGGAAAAAAAGAAAATACTATTAGTTGATTTTCATATCTTTTCTGAAGGATGATTTCTAATAGATAGGATCTACTGAATTTACTGGAACAAAGTCTGAGCTCGACATGTGAGCATCCACTGATATTTTAGGTGAAAGAAAAGACTTTGAACCTTCGAAGCAGCCAAGGGAGCAGTTTCTCTCATGTCATAAGCTTGAGTTGTAGAAGTAGATGAAGACCTGACAATCATGAAAGATCCACCTCCTATTCCACTTCCCGCGGGATTAACAACACCAACGCACAATGAAGTAGCCACTGCAGCGTCAACAGCATGTCCACCTTGTCTGAGTATTGATGCACCGATCTCAGAACAGCGAGCATCATCAGAAGCAACAACACCTTGTTCTGACTCGACAATTTCAGCACTGTTAACTTCATTCCTGTCGATGTAGTTGTTTCCTCCTCTTAGTACCCAACAATTGAAGGGGGCTCTAAAAAATAGTAGGCCTACAGCTGAATTGCAGAACAGTATGGTTCGTTAGCATTAACTAGAATACTTTGAGCATGTCCATGAAATTGAACACATCAGAATCGAGAAACTGAACATTTTGCATCTTATAGGTAAGTCAACAAATCATTAAAATATAGGATAAAAAATTAACAGATCTTGGGAGCAACTGATAAGAAAATGGTGAGAATAAAAGTATAGCATATGCAATATTTTCGAAAATGAGCAATTCTTTACAATTAAAGATGGATAATATGTGAATCCCAGAAGTGGATTTGGGAGAAGGAAGGAACAGAACAACTAGATTTTATTTATTTATTTATTTTTTATTATTTTTTTAAACTATGGCTCCATTAATCATGCTGTTAGATGGAGGATAGAAACAGCAGCCGAGAAGAAATTCTTCTGAACTACTTAGATATATATAAAAGGAACAAAAACCAAACATAAAACATAAAGAGAGAGAGAGATGACTACTTGCAAAAATGGTTAAGAAAGAAAGAAAGACGCAGAAAGCCTTGCGTTTCTTCTTGTCATGAATATAGTAATTTGGAGATGAGACATGAGTGCCCAAGAGTGGAGCTTCTATTCTCTGTCGCCCCATCATTCCTCCCCTTCAACAAAGAGCGAGACAAGCTAAATTACTATTAACTAATAAGCTGTTGGTTTGGTTAGGTGCTTTGTTGGACTGCGAGTTGAAGAAGAGAGTATTCTTTATTCATCTATTGGTTGTGTTTGGTAAGGAAATCTTTTGTCAATTACGGAAACATATACAGAAATATTCCCTGCCCACCCCTTGTTTTTTGTTGGTTTGTCATCCATTTCAATGCATAACCAATGACTGAGGAGTACGAATTTCCAATATTCGTTTTCTTATAAGCAAACACCAATTGCAATTCCATCTTCCACAATCCCCTCACCAATTAAATCGTGCCGTCCCGCCCCAGCAGAATCTGCAGATAAAGAAAATACAACGAAGAAGATTTTTTTTTGCCCTTATAAAAAAATGCAATAATGGAAGCTTATGCTTCGGCAATCACGTTGACAAGTATAATATCCTAACTTCTCTAACGTGAATGCTAACTATAATAGCCATTGGCCCATTACAAACAAACACCTTTCTCTGTCTCTCCTTTTTTTTTTTTTTTTCTTCATCAAGAGTAAGGAATTATTAAAAGTTTTAATTAACTTCAAGAGTTGGTGTGGTGATTAAAGATGTATACTGTTCTTTTTTAAAAAAAATATTTGAATATTAGGTCTAGCACTTTTTTTTTTTTTTTTCCCTGAATGCTCAAATTATCATGGAGGATGTGACTTTAAGATCCCATGAATCCTATATTTCACTGAGTTTTGAATATAAAATTGTGATGTTATTTCACGGTTTTCCTTTATAATTTTTTCATTGTTTCTCAAATGAAAAAAAACAAAAAACCCCAAAATGATGAATTATACATATTCTTCTTTTTTATACAAACACTTTTATCAATATATAACATTTAAAATTATTTTCTTTTGCATTTTTATATTTGGTTAATGTTAAATTTATTTTTTTATTATAAATAAAATATAAAGTATTTCTTTTATTTTGGACTTAATAAGTATAACTTTTTTCATGATAAATTTTTTATTTGAATAAAATAAAAGTAGTATTTTATAATTAGATTATCCCACATACATAAACTTAAGATGACTTATAAATTATAGTTTTGATTTTTATGACAAATAGCTATAATTTTGATGTATTTCATCTTCTTTTTTCTTTTGGAAAAACAAGATGAAATATTTTTGACAAATGAATACATTTTTCAAATTTTCAATGGAAAGAAAAATTGGATACGGAGAAGAAAATTAGACATTAAGATAAAAAATGATTTTCTTTTGGAAAAATTCTTCTTCATTTTGAATACATTTTTGAATTTTTAGTAAGAAAAATTGAAAATCAAGAAGAAAATTAGACATTAAGATAAAAACAAAAATGATTTTCGGCTACTGAACATAGTCTAAATTTAGGACCTTCTAGATACGTGACTTTAAATTTGATAATCCAAACATATTTTATGGTTTTTTTTTTTTTTTTCTGGCAACAAATGCTATTTAAAAAATCGTTATTTTATGGCATGCACATATATCTCCAAATTAGTTTTCATGTACTGGTTAAATTCGTTTCTTTGTACTGATCAGAGACAAACCATTCACATCAAATAAACGAATATCATGTAATTGTTAAGTAGCAATATATATATATATATATATATATTGCTAAAATATTTACTATTCTAACCAAATAAACGGATGTCATGTGATTGTAAAGTAAATAGGGAAATTTTAAGCTACATAATGTTTTAATTAAATAAATAGATATATTTAATTCAAAATTAATTTTATTTGTTAAAAATGAATTAGTATGGAGGGAACTTTCATAAAACAAAAGGCCTCAAATTATAATCGAAAAAAAAGGATGATATATCCAATTACTTTTTTATATTGAGATTGAGACCATTGTCTCCTATGGCTTTGTAAGAATTTTTCACTTTCGTTTGTCATTGTTGTATATTCATGTTTTTTTTTTTTTTGGATAAAAATTCTCTTTAGACCACCAAAAGAAAAATAATTTTTAAAAACTTAATAAATGAAGAGAATAAGCTCAACTTATAAGAAAAGCACTTAATCATAATATATATATATATATATATATATATATATATATATATATATATATATATATATATATAATAATGCACCAAAATATGAAAAAGTATACACTGGATCTAGAAACATTGAAAAGTTTTGGCATACGAATAGTACAATTATCCCTAACATTAATTAATTAACCGGAGTTTCAGAAAGCAACTTTCTTTTCCATTTTTTTATTTTTATTTTTTTAATGACAAGAGCTTTCTCAATTTAGCAATAATAGGCACAATCAAAATCATTTTTTTTTCATTTCAGAAGCAAAAGGTGGAATCTGAATAATTGTGAATCAGCACCGAAAGCAATTAGTATCATTTTGTTTTGCCATCACAATTCACAAATGATAGTTGATTCAGAAAATGAACAAAATTGTACCAAAACAATGAACTAATGTCGTCAGAGGTGATGCAATACATATAGACGCAGACATATCAAAATTGAATAACAGCCAATAATTGAAACGCATAAATGTTATTTTTTCCGAAGTATGCACATTAGGTTATATAGCGCAGCGCAGTCACCTGGACGTTGATGTGGAAAGGTAAAATTAAAAGCTTTCACGGAGCTATCTTTCAGCTTCCTAGATTTTATAGACTTCATTAATTTTGGCTTCTTAAAATCCTAGTATGCTCCATGTTTTAACCTAATTTTTTAAAAAATTAAAATTAAAATTTATTATAAAAGAAATAGAAATAATAAGAGAATCGAAGGAAAGGATGACAAAAAAATGAAATCATTATAATGTGGATACAATTGATAAAAACTTCAAAGTTTCTCTTATTCTCTTTAGAAAATTTATACCTCAACTAATGAACAATCAAGCCTATTTATAAGCTTCAAAATTGAGATGAGAATTGGAAAGGACTATGAATAATTAAAAGTACATCAATTGCATCACTCGTTTCAATTTTTCATATTAAAAGGTGAATTAAATCATATTAAGGATCATGAGTAGTGGAGATATGAAAAGTAGATGGACATTCATTATTTCATAACACTCCCATTTGAATATTTATTGTACAAGGAACATTCCTCGTTAAAACTTTACTAGGAAAAAAACCTAGCGGGAAAAAATCTTAGTGAAGGAAAAAGAGTACGAGTATCTCTTGCACACATTAATCCTCATTTTGGTCTCTCTATGTTGAAGACATTATTTAAGATCTCTAAGACGACACATTCCAATCTTGTGAATCATCTTCTCAAAAGTTATGGTAGGTAATGCCTCAGTGAACAAATCTGTTGGATTATTACTTGATCGAATATGTTGAACATTAATATCACTATTTCGTTGAAGATCATATGTGAAAAATAATTTTGGTGATATATGCTTCGCTCTGTCACCTTTGATGTATCCTTCCTTTAATTGAGCTATGCAAGCAGTATTATCTTCATACAAGACTCGTTGGAACTTCCTTGCTAGTGGATAAACCGCATATCTCTTGAATATGATGGGTCATTGATCTTAACCAAATACATTCTCGATCGGCCTCATGAATTGCTAGTATTTCGCATGGTTTGAAGATGGATAGCTATAGTTTGCTTCATAGAACGCCATGATATAGTTGTATCTCCATATGTAAATACATAACCGAGTTTGAGATCGAGCTTTGTATGGATCGGATAAATAACTCGCATCTACATAACTAATTAATCCAAGTGTTTGATTTGTTAGAGTAATATAAGCCCATATGAATTGTTCCTTGGAGATAACATAGTATATGTTTAATTCCATTCCAATGTCTCCGTGTTGGAGCAGTAACTATATCTTGCTAATAAATTTATAGAAAATGCTATATCGAGTCGAGTATTATTAGTAAAATACATTAATGCACCAATTGCACTAAGGTATGGTACTTCGGGACTAAGAAGTTCTTCATTATCTTCTGAGGTCGAAAAGGGTCCTTTTGAACATCAAGTAAACGAACTACCATTGGGCTAGTCAATGGATGAGCCTTATCCATTTAGAATCTTTGTAGTACTTTTTCTATATATGTTGACTGATGAATAAAAATTCAATCTTTTAAGTGTTTGAACTACAAGCCGAGATAAAATTTTGTTTTTTCAAGATCTTTCATATCAAATTCTCTTTTTAAATAATTTATGGCACTTAAAATCTTTTCAGGAGTTCCAATTATATTTAAATCGTCAACATATACAACAATTATCACAAACCCCTTTTCGAATTTCTTTATAAAGACACATGGACAAATTGAGCTATTTTTATAATCTTTTTTTAATAAATAATCACTAAGACGATTATACCACATGCGTCCAGATTATTTCAATCCATATAGAGATCTTTGTAATTTAATCGAATACATCTCTCGAGAATGTATTTTACATGCTTCGTGCATTTTAAGTCCTTCTGGGACTTTCATATAGATATCATTATCAAGTGAACCATATAAATAGGTCGTGATTACATTCATTGAATGTGTATGAATTTTTTCACATGTCGTCAAGCTAATAAGATAACGGAATGTAATTGTATCCATTATAGGAGAATATATTTCTTCATAGTCAATGTGAGGTCTTTGTGAAAAGCCTTGTGCTACAAGTCTTGCTTTGTATCTCATAATTTCATATTTTCAATTCGTCTTCACACAAATACCCATTTGTATCCTACTAGTTTAACATCTTCGGGTATTTTAACTATGGATCCAAAAGCTCGCTCGTTTCGTGAGAGACTTTAATTCTTCCCGAATTGCATATTTTCACTCGGGCCAATCATCTCTATGTCGACATTCTTCATTAGATTTAGGCTCGGGATCCTTTTTCAAAATATCAATTGTCATATAATATGCAAAGATGTTATCAATGAATGTTTCTTTTCGATCCTATTTTCTCCCTATATTAACATAATTTATCGACAATTTCTTGATTTTTCTCAAGCATTTGGGCGTCTTCTGGAAGCTT